GAAAAGACAAGGAAAAACGGGGTTGCCTTTATAGTAAAAAAAGTTATTTCTAGATCCATCTTGAAGTACAACATCGTGAGTGACAGGATCATATCCATACGCTTACAAGGAAGTCCAGTAAATACCACTATCATTCAGATATATGCACCAACAACCAGAGCCATGACTGTTAGCATAGAAAATTCAGAAGCATCTAAACATATTCTACACAGCATTCACTGGAGACTAGCACTCAGGGTGGGTACAAGATGTATATACCAGAAACAGGAAACACTAAAATGGAATCTAAACATGACATTGTCAAAATTATAGCATAGAACAGGAATTATCCTAGACAGTTAAAATGTCACATGGTTCAAATCCACCAACTTCTCCTTGGGAGAAAGATGAGCAATCAACTAACTGTCCCTGAAAACCTGCTGGAGGGTCATCTATTCATTGATTCTGACTCAACAGCACATAACAACAACTAAAATGAAAAGATTACTTATAAAAATGTGGGAAGACATAAGGGACCCCATAATGGCTGAGCAGCAACACTGGAAATTCAGTATCTAGTCTGTGGCCCAAAGAACACGAGGAGAAAAGTAAGAGCCCAGTGAAGTCTCTATGGAGGAGAGACTGCCCTGAGGGAATTTTAGTCCTGGACAGAATCTGGCTCTGAAAAAAAAAAAAAAGCCAAAAAACCCAAACACAAAGAATCCACAGTATAATTACATTAGAAATGGTCTGTATTGAAACATTTCTTAAAAATAAGTATTATATAATATATACATAGGGAGAAAAAACCACACACCCCAAACCAGCAGAAAAACAGAAGGTTAACAGTTGGGAAAAGACTGTGTCACAGATTAATGCAGTCAGGGAGAGGCTGCGCCCTCCCACTAGGGAGTTTAGCAGTATCAGCCAGAGCCTGAGGGGGCTTCAGGCAAGGATGCCAAGTGAATGGAGTAATCCTTCTTTCCCCCCAAAACTCTAACCTGGAAGGTGGAGACATCCTATCTCTAATTTCTAGTCCTCATCCTTCATCATTCTAGATTTACTACCTCACCAGCACTGCTCTTGGCTGCCTTCAGGGCTGTTTTACTCTGAATGACTGCTTTTGGGAGGATGAGAGGCACTAGCCTGAGGATGTCCAGGTGTTAGCAAGCACTGTATTACTGAAATTGAAGCATAGCAGGTGACCCTCTTTTCACAGCACTGAGGGAGGGGCAGACAGTGCAATCCTTTCCTCTATCAGCCTATACCTTCAGCATCAAGTAGTAAATCCTCAGAAACACATCACTGTGCCTTGTCAATGCATGTCCTCGTCAGTGTCTGGTGACAGCAGTCCTTGTTCAGTCCATGTTATCAGCCAGAATCAATACTTATTAAATATCATAACAGAAAAGGTCTTGAAGTGAGTGGCTTGCCTACAGATGAGAATACAGGGGTCCTAGGTGGGGGAAGAAGAAACAAATATAAATTCAGAGAGCCAGGGACCGACAGACAGGAAACAGGGCTTCCACTCCACTTTGTGCCAATCCGTGGCTTCTGTGGATGCTCGGATCCTAGAATCTGTGCTCAGTCATTTTGCATCCCTCTGGCCAGAGAGTGAGCCTCACCCCCTCTGTTCTCCCTGGCAAACAGCTGATACTCAAAGAGGAAAGTGGCATAGGAGTGGCAGAGAGAGGAAGTGGCCTGAAGGAGGGCTGGGCTTGGTAGCTGGAGAGATTCACAAGGTTTCAGAACTTCCTGGAACCCAGCCTGCCTTTCAGCTCTGAGGAGCTGCCCAGAACAGAAGGTCCAGATCTGCTGGGCCTGACCATGAAACACAGGCTAAGTGAGATCAGTTGGGGCTGGAGAGAGCTGAGAAGAGGACTGTCAGGGGGCCCTGGGTCCTCCGTAGGGCTCCCACTGGCACCCCTGGCTCAGCCCTTATCAAATGTCCAGTCAATCCTACGCCTGTGGCTGCTCTCTCCAATTGGCTGTGAGTCTTGGAAGGCAGGGACTATGGCTCATTTATCTTTGTATCCCAGGCACAGTGCCAGGCATGTGGACAGCCCTCGAGAAAACAAATAAACGGGGCAGAAAGCTGAGGGTGGGGAAACCCACCTGCAGCAGCTGGGGCGGGGAGGGCAGAGATTAAAAACAGAGAACTTCCCTTTGCTCTGGTTTTATCGTCAGTGAGCAAAGGTCTCCCTGCCTAACTCTAGGGCTCAGGGGAGCACGTGGCAGGAGGATCTGTGGAGCTACCCATCACAGAGCACCTGCTCCATGCTGGGCATTTATTTTCACTGCATCCTCTTGACCCTATGAGGTAAGTACTATTATTGTCCCAGGGCTTAGAATAGAATTCACAACCTGTCAAAAGGTACATTGCCAGGAAAAGACAGAGCCAAATACAAGCATGTCCCCGAACCAAACTCTGAACCACTCTTGATTTCTTCAACACAAAACCAGGGAGCACCAGTTATATATCAGGCATGGCTCTCAGTGCTGGGAACACAGCTATGAACAAAACCCACAGCAGGTCTTCCAGGAGCTTTTATACTAGTTCCTGCAGAAGAGAGACTATGGAAAATTAAATGTACAACCAAGGCATATCGTGTCAAGATGAGATAATCCCAAAGAAGAAAAACAAAGTGGGATGAAAGGAGCATGTAAGAGTCCTTCACCACTCCTGTGAAGGGCCAGAGAATAAACATTTTCTGTTTCGATGGCCATGAAAAAAATCCATGGTGATACAATGATTAAGCACAAGACTGGTAACTGAAAGGTAAGAGATTCAAATCTACCAACCATTCTGTCAGGAGAAAGACATGGTTGTCTGCTTCTGCAGATTTACAGCCTTGGGAACTAAGGGATGATTCTACTTTGTCCTACAAGTTCATTATGAGTCAGAATCTACTCGACAGCAATGGGTTGGGTGATATTGGTTTGACACGTAACTATTTGTCTCTACCATTGTAGTGCAAAAGCAGCTACAGAGAATCCATAAACAAATAAGTGTGGCTGTGTGCCAATAAAACTTTATTTGTGGGCACTGAGCTTACAATTTCACATAATTTTTACATGTCACAAAACATTAGTCTGATGTTGACTCTTTCCCAGTTATTTAAAAACACAGAAACCAGTTTTGGCTGGCAGGTTTTCCAAGAGCAGATAGTAGGCTGGGTGTGGCCTGTACGCTGGAGTTTATAAGTGCTAAAGTAGTTAAGGCAAGTGGTTCAAACCCACCAAAAGCTCTGGGAAGATGAGCAATCTCCTCTCATGTGGTTTATAGCTTCTGAAAACTCACTGGAGGGTCAACTATGAGTTAGTTCATATAACAACAACGCTTACAAAAGACAGAGTGAGCACTACATGAATGTTCATGACCCTTATCAGTTACTGGTGTGACCTGCTCTGATTTCTTTTTAATAGGAGCCCTTTGGCTGCTGTGTGGAGATAAGGCTCAGAGAAGTAAGGGAGGTGCAACGAGATCAATTAAGAGGCAATCCGTGTGTTTTCCTGGGGCGTGTGGCAGTGCCTGGCGTCAGTCGGTGGTCATCACCAAGACTCAGTGACAGTATCTCCAGACTGCCACAGACATGTAACTGCAGTCCTCTAGACAACCCATGGTGAAAATGCAGACAAGCCACCAATGACCAACAAGTGGGAGATCTATTCCCAACACCATCACATCCAGCTGCAGGAGTTGGGAATATGGAGAAGAGGCGACAGTTTTGGTCAAAACTCACCCACAATATCCACCACGTCAGGCCGGATGAGCGGCTCCCCACCCGTGAGTCGGATCTTGTCCACACCTTCCTTCACAAAGAGCCGTGCAAGGGTCAGGACCTCCTCAGTGGTCAGCAGGTCTGCCTTTGGGGTCAGGGGGACCCCTTCCTCAGGCATGCAGTACTGACCTGAGAACATAGGGGACAAACGGTCACAGCAGCCAGGCCTGTGATGCCTCCACTTCCCAACCCCCCAACCAGGCCAAAAGCTTCTCCTGAACTACCCTACCTCCCCCCAGTGCCAGACAACACCTTCCCACATCTGGGAGTCAGAATAGGCTGGCCTTTACTCTAGGCCAGGTATTATCTGGCAGTCACTTTCAAATTCTAACTCCCTCTCACCATTTGGATCTGAGAGTATAAATTAAAGAGGACAGATGAGGTAAAGGGCTGCAGGAAGCCTAGTCTCTCAGGATCAATCATCCTTCTTTATTCATCTGGTTTTGGAATAAACATGTTACCAATACCACGTGTGCCAGGAGGGGATAGAGTCTTCACTCTCATTGACTTGGGAAAGCTACTCTCCTGTACAGATGCTCTCATCTTTCTATTCCAGGCCATCAACTATCTCATTTGATGGGTGGACAAAGTGAAGCACAATTTGTTCAGGGTGAACTAGCAGAACGGAGTAAGCTGGGGTAGCTAGTAGGAGGGGGCATCAAGGACCCCTCTAATTCCTGTATCTTTTGTCAAGAATTAGGTCTAGATCTGCTTGAGGGCCACGGACTCAAATTAGTGAACTAGATCTAGAACTGATTTGTTTGGTTTTTTTAAGACAGAATTGAGAAGAGAGAATCAGTAACTATCAGAACATAACATGTGTTGTATGTGGAGTACATGTCAAAATAATTAAACTCACTGTCATCAAGTCTTACCTGACTCACAGTTAATTCTCCAGTAGAATTTCAGAAGCTGTGAATTTTATGGGAGCAGACTGTTCGTATTTCTCCATGGGAGCAGCCAGGTGGATTCAGACCACTCGCCTATAGATTGGCAGTCCAATTCCTTACTTCACCAAAGCTCATAGTGCATGGTGTTGTTATGTGCCATCAAGTTGACTAAAACTCACAGTGACTAAAACTCACAGTAACCCTATGAACAAGATCTCTGAACCCTGCCCTATCTTGTGCCATCCTCACCAATTCCAACACGCTCGAGTCCATCTCACAGTCACTGCGTCAATCCACCTCGTTGTGGGTCTTCCTCTTCCTCCGATTCTCCATCTTTCTGAGCATGCTTATGGGTCCTTCTCCAAGGACTGATCCCTTCTTACAACATGGCCATAGCATATGAGATGGAGTTTCACCATTCTTGTCTCCAAATAGAATCCTGGTTTCACTTCCTACTGGATGGCATAGTTTATTTTCTTCGCAGTCCATGGGATATTCAGGACTCTTCTCCAGCACCACAACTCAAAGGTATCGATGATTCTTCTGTCACCCTTTGTCACTGTCCAACTTTCAGATGCATAACAAGCAACTGAAAAGACCATGACTTGGACTAGGCACATCTTAGACTTAAAATGGACATTCTTGCTCTTTAGTACACTGGAAAGGTCCTTGACCCCAGATTTTCCCAGTGCAACTCGGTTTTTAATTTCTTGACTGCTGGTAACAAGG